GTGAAGAGATTGGTTTGATAGGATGATACCATTTCGCCCAAGCTTTTCAGTGCCGCTCTCGAGAGTATCATGCGGCATTTGGAATGGGAAGACTTGGTGGTGAAGGTCGACGGCCACTACTTAATCATCTCCGCTTTGCGGACGACATCGTGCTTACAACACCGAACATCGAGCAGGCGGAACGAATGCTGGCCGAGTTTGACAGTGCTTGTGGAAAGATCGGCCTATCACTGAACCTAACCAAGGCGATGTTCATGAGAAACGGAATGGTTTCTGATGCTCCTTTCACGCTCAACTGAACGAGTACCTCCGAAAGTTCCAGTACGTGTATCAAGGTAGGGAAGTCAACGTGATGAACGATCTAGCTCTGGAGCTGAGCAGAAGGAAACAGCGTGGAAAGCATTTAATAATATCGAGGGATTAGTGAAGAAGACAAAGAACATCCAGCTCTCCGCTCACCTTTTCAGCACTGCTATCCTTCCTGCTTTGACGTACGCCTAAGAGACTTGGACTCTACGAAAGCAGTATGAACATGGATAGGGCGGCTACGGAATGGATCCTTCGTAACGTCAAGCAAATACCAGGACGGGCGTCAACGAGATGGTCAGACTTCTTCAGAAAGCCCTGATTGAAAGGAATGCTATGCTCGTGTCCCTGATGCGAAAAGAATTCACTGGACTACTATAGCTCATGACAGGAACGAATGGATACGTTACCGGCGCCCGCTCAAGGAAATCGGCGATCAATGGGACGAGAGGAGATACAGGTGAACTCAACTCATTCAATACAAGCTCCGCCCAATTTGAGAATTTGGTCATTCTTCCTCTAATATCCTAACATGTTCTCGCATTCTAGAACATCTTTGAACAGTTATATAATTTCGTTGTTAGCCCGCCCACTCCGGAAGAATTTACTTCGGAAAATTCCAGGTCCGACCTTAATTCAATCTCGGCATATTGAAACAAACTTGTCGTTGCTTGTATCAGCCTTAGAGATTGTTAATAATACTCCACACACGGCTTACTTTTCAGCAATATCGCCTTCGTCGGAGCATGTAAGTCGGCTCTATATTTGTGATTCCTAGGTTACCTTTTCGAATTACAAGAAGAGCATTCTAAAGGGAGGCAAGATATACGACTCCTGAAATCATACAGTCACCTTCCTTTCCGGACGGGCGAATCACACAGAAGGGCGTCTGGCATCTCCGATCATGATGGCGGTTCCGAACCAACTGTATTTGAGGTTCAAGGGAGGTATTGTAACTATTCGCACACTATCCTGGAAATCAGCTTTCCAGAGACAGCGCTCATATCATCGGAAACGAAGACTAAACAGAAGGGTACTTATTGTTCGCTCTTCATCCTGTGCATCTCCCATCCTAGCACGCCTCCTCTACGCCACGCAGGCTGCCCATCGCAACCATATCCATTCTCCTGCGCAATCCGATGAGCCATTTCCATGGACTCCGTTCTAAAGTCGCCTTCAGGCGAAGCTGCAGAAGCCGTATTAAACATGTCCTTACAATGGCAGTTGTCGTCCTCAATGGATGCGTTGATCCACAACGAACGATGGTGTTCTTACTGCTAGGCTTTTGATACCACTTCGTTCTTTGGATACCACGCAAGAAATTCATTTGAACGTTGCGGAAGGCAAGCCAACTCTTGTCGGTTTTTAATCTGTGAACTTTATGTGTTCAGACTGAATATTAAGTAGTTCGAAACAGGTGTCCATCTCAGTTTGAGTGGAGTTTACGATAAAACGGTTGTCGATATTTTGGCAATGAATTAGTGGCCTTCGGTCCAAGACGGGTCTTTCAACTTGCGACATGAACGCTATAGCCAGCGCCGGTACTGACCTCTGCCCCATAGCTAGTCGTCTCATTTGCTTGTAGTATTCACCCAACCACCTGGAGACCTTACAATTTAGGCTTCCGGAACAGCAACATAATGTGCCTGATAGTGAGGCCATACAAATTCAGACTATCATGGAGCTCAGACAGGATTTCCAGGACTGCTTGCATTGCACTTTCCCTTGGCACGTTTGCGATAATGAAGTCACGTCAAACGACTTCATCACATTTCCTTTTTCCAATTTGGCTTCACGTAGTATTCTAAGGAACCCATTAGTGCTTGGTAAAAGTGCTGAAACAAACCGCAACAGCTGTATTAGGATTAGGTTTAGAATTCAACCAATCCTATCCGTGGGGCCACCAACACAACTTATAATGGGTCTTACTCTGAACCTGCTGGGGTCTTCCACGTGTACGCCTGGATAGGTCACATTTAAGTCTGCTAATCAGATAGGTCACATTTAAGTCTGCTAATCACAGTTTTTGGCAAATTTGCCGTCTATGTCCACACCTTGTTAGATGCCGGTACTGCCTCGTGAATTCTTCTGGGGCGGAACGACTGTCTCTGGAATGCTATTGGAGTGCAACCGCGCCATTGCCCTGTCCAAGTCCTGCGAAAGCACCACGAACTCCCTTCCTGTGTCACTTACGCTTATTTTTATTACGCCCGACTGCGATAAATCCCTAAGTTCCTTGAGTCCCTATCTCTAAGCAGCACTTGGGTTGGCTGGAACACGTACGCCTATGTTACGACGGAGCTTTGAGAAGAGTGCTGTTGCGGATAGGCGGAACATCGTAGCATCAACAACCTTGAAGATGATATCTCAGCATGCAAGACTCTGGAGGCACTGTGGATCGCAGCAAAGAACCCAAAAATCAACAGGAAGGACGAATGCGTGGCGATTACCAAGGAGCTCGCATCATTCGCAGACTTATGTGACTCTGATCGACAGAGTCGATTCATCTGCGGGAGCGCCGGAGCAGGGGTGACGGGTGAAAATACCCAAACTCGCTGACAAATCAAGCCAGGGGCGATGCGTGACCATCTGCAGGGACCTGACCTCGTATGACCTTACTTAGTAGTTTACATCTTTGGGGTTCCCTGGAGCAATTCCTGGCCCGATCTCTGGGTCCCAGAACATATGAAAACTCCGTGAGGAACTTGGAGCTCAAGGTGCCGATAAACAGCTCTGCCTTTAGAACGCTCTTATTGTAATTTGAAAAGGTAACCTAGGAATCACAAATATAGTCCCGACTTGCAGGCTACGACGAAGGCGATATTGCCGAAACGTGCTCCGCGTATAAAGTGTTATTAACAATCTTGAAGGCTGATACAATTAAGGAAGAATTTACTTCACTTTTTCTATTACCTCAACCTACTTTTTTCTGAATGCTAGAACGTTTTTGATTAATTATTAGTTTTTGATGTTATCTTTGCCCATTCAATGAAAGCTCCGCACACTATGAGAACTTGATCATTCTTTCTCTGATACTTTCTGACCACTTTTTCCGCATTCTACAACGTTTCTGAGCGGAGTTATGAACTTTCGATCTTAGCCCTGCTCATTTTGGAGCAATCCCGCCCACTTCTAGGGTTTGATTACATTTCTTCTATTACCTCCAACCACTTTACCGTTATGTTGAAAGTACCGCCCACTGTGAGAACACTGCGCCCACTGGCAGCCGGTCTACCTCATTCCATTTGATGATTTATCTCTCATCTTTACTCATTTTTGACGGCGCCTAGACCGTTATGAAACCGAATTAGGATGTTTTGCCCATGGCACCGCCCAACTCCATCGCATGCCCACCCTTGGTGGCGGAGTTCCTCTAGGCTCACATGTGCTCTGTTGCACATACGCTATGCTCAACTCATTCCAAGCTTGACCCAACTTCTACAGGTACTTCTTCAGGTGATATTTTGTTTCGTGACAGACAGACAGACAGACAGACAGACAGACAGACAGACGCGAGCGCTTATATATAGTAAGGATTATGAATATATTTGATAGCTCGGAAGCTCACAAATTGGCAAAATTTAACAATGTGTGGGCTTACGTGTTATGCTATCACAAAATGAAAGAAACAGAAAAATTTTCGCACTAGGGGCGGCTACCGGAAAGACTACTCTCTACTCCAGGTGCAATTACATGGATCAACAAAAAAGATGAGTAGGTTTGAAAAGAAGCTTCGAATATATGAAAAATATGGAGAATATGGCTACCTATCAACTTTAACCATCTCCTATCAAACACACAGAAACAAGGAGGAAATTGATTCCTTCTAATGGATGCTTCTTTATTAGTGATCCGAGCAAGTCTGTTTAATTTTCATCACTCGCCAAAGAACAAGTTAACCTCTGAGCAGCTTTTTACGACTTTTCTCTTCTCGAAGCCACTCACAGAAGTGCAGAAGGCTCCTTCGCTGATCACAAGCCCACTCGACTTGCTTTACTACCCAATTGGTTACCAAAATACGCAATAGGGCGGATGCTGTGATCTTAATTCGATCCTTAGACGCGTTTTTCTTCTTCTCGTTTAAACGCTACACGCGTTTTCTCATGAAGGTCTATAGTGTGAAGTCTCAAATATAATACTTGAAATGCAAAGAGATGCATCTATGCATGACATGATGGATTCGTAACACATGCGCGTGATGCTTTCGTCTATTTGGGGATACAGCGGCTGCACGGGATGTGAAGATAGCTTATTACAAACTGATGAAGCATAGGAGTCCGGCCCTCCTCTCCTCGTCATGAAATATAAACGACATATACCATATAAACGCATCCGAAAACTCGCGTATACAAAGAATTTCCAGGATTCACGCTTTCTCTGATCAGTTAAGGATACGTGCTGGCAAAAAGGAAGCAAGGCTGGAGTGGTCCATTAACCTAAGGAGTTGTGGAAGAACGCCTAAACGACTGATTCCTCCCTGAGAACCCCGACTCAATGACAACATTCCCTTTGGCCATCTTACTTTCGCAAAAACAAGAATGAAAAGAAACATGCAACACTGAATAAAACTCTTCGAAACTTTTCTTAAGAAACCGTACGGCAGATTCTAAAAGTAACTGAATTCAGCGTCTCCAAACAGAACCTAAACCGCTGCAAATGCTGGCGCTGACCTAGACTTAAATTAACTATACAAATTATAGGCATACCACAAGATTGGCACATGTGTCCCGAATGAAACTTTCATCCGTTCCAGTGATATCCAATACGTCGTTGTGAAAATATTTCGTCCTGAAAGTAAAAAAACCAAGATATGTTTTTGTGATGTTAACGCCTGAAAGTAGGGTGAGTACGGTGAACATTCCAGTCGACGAAATGGAACACAAAAATGACAAGTTAGCGAATGTACAAGTTGAACTAATTCGCATTCTCAATATCCTTCTACTTTTGACGACATGAAGACAAAAAAGGAGTGCAAAGCGACCATATCTATAGTGCCTGAAACTACAAGTTGTAGGCTCACCCAGACATCCACAAAGCTTGACATAGCCGTGAATTCTCAAATCCAAAAATTCATAAAGTATGAAAGTTATTAGTACAGAAACATATCCATCCACTACGTCTTCATTATCCGGCACACTCATTTCAATACATTAAACCAAAATGAAGCAAAGATCGTCACATAAGGTTAGAGTATAGAGTTACCTGGTCTTACGAATCATTCGTAAAGGGATATGACCACAAACTCGCTCCATCATTGCCAAATGCTCACGATTACTATGCGTACGAAAAAGAGTGGCTCCACGATGAAGCTCATACAATATGCACCCCAACGACCATGTATCACATGGTTGCCACCATCCAAGATCTTAACATGTACATAAGCTTAAGAAGGCACGAATACAGTGCATTGAGTTCCATGTACGGCTTTCTATGAACATCTGCATAATTGTATCATTGAGATTCTTTTTTCTTGAACTCTTCACGAGGTTTTTAAGTATGCTTTATTAG